CACGAGAGACGGAACACATGCACCAATTCAGGAACAGTAGTGGCTTGCGTGGGACCTGCCGATGCCTTAAACACAATACTCATGTCGCAGGTAGCGCAGCGGAGGGGGAAGCAGTGTCAGCATAGTCATTTGCCTGATTCGAACAGGGACATCTTTCGATTGCTATGGTATGATTACTATTATTATTATTATCTCTGGAGGAAGACAATATTATTGAAGCTATAGGATCGTTTCCATTTCCGAACGCTGGCACACGTGGCAGGATCAACAGGCAGTAGTGAAAGGAAAGCTTGGTCGAATCCACCAAACCAGGCTTTCATTTCACTACTAACCGAGCAATAAAAATAATAACAAGAGGAGTAATAACGCGTGCAGTATCAGTAGCCAAAGACCAGCAATGAAGATTGGGTGACAACTAAGGAATATTGCGTCCATACTCGTAACAGTGGCCTGTGTTTTGGCCGAAAATGGGCCAAAGGAAAATACTAACAACGAACATTTTTCGTTGCTCAGCTGAGTTGTCTGTGTTCCAGCTAAGCGGTTCCATCAAGCCATACAGTATTATTCCCTCAGGTCGCCATCGTTGTTTCTCCTGTTATTTATTACGTGATCTAGAAAGCATCTCGGGAGCGAGCTGCCAGAACGCTGATGTCCCGCCACGTTACTATATCTCAGCGACGTATTATATTTATATCAATTGGGAAGAAATGCTCAGGTGAGCCTGCGTGTGTGCGCCGAATGTGCAGATGGTCATCTTCTGTCAAAAGCATGTGCTTCCGTCTACCCAAGCAATAATACACGACGTATGTTTAGAGGAAAGCGCGACCTCGAAGATGAACGATGAATTTGGAGAGTAGTTTCATTGCCTACTATACAATTCAACTAAAACCCTAATAGGATCGAGGCCTATGGAAATGACAAGGCTGAACCTGTTACTTCCAACATTTTTCTCATTTAATTAAAGCCTTTAGAAATTGGAACATTTAGAGAAGTTTTAGGCGTTCCGTTTTCGTACAATAGATTATATAGTATAGTTATCAATGGTTGAGGTCTAAGGCTTCCTTTTAAATAGCAGTGAGTTATGATTTTATTTTAGCGAGAAGAGTTTTCGTCCAGTACAATTAATCATTATATTAAAATATCGTTGCTTATAAAAATCTTTCATTGTGTAAAAAAAAAATTAAATTGTAAATTTAGCCTTCGAAATTAGTCTATCATTTTTTCGGCAGTGATCGGCCGAAGAGAAAGTTTACGAGCTGAGCGCTTTCGTTTCGGCTGGCTACAGTGAACATAGCAAATCAATAAAAAACCTATTTTCGAAAATGTTTTCGGCATCGTTACGCATTAGGGGAGTCCGTTTATTTAACAATATATTATTATATGATACAGTTATAATTTCACGTTGCAAATGCACTTTAATACGCAGTATTTCAAATGGTGAGTAGCCCTGTGTAAATGGCCCGAACCCAACCTAGAACTTGAATCAGAGGTAGGTTTTAATCGTATGTTTCAAATTAGAATTGGATGTTCAGTGCTGACTGTAGAGTTAGGGCTGAGCCGCAGTCGGATCTGGTGGAAAATTCCATATAGATGAGCGTCGCCTTTGACAAAGAAGACGCTGTAAGCCGAAAGCTTCATTAAACTGTATTCTGACGACGACGAATTGGTGTAACCTACCTTAACAGGATGACTAATCGTTTTCAAAGATTCTAAACGGTTGTATGTCCCGTGTCTACTCACTAGGCAGCACATATTCCAGACCTAAGAGCTACTTTACTACAATATTCTAGTATGTGTATTGTTTCTTCGAAAAGAATTGGCAATACTGTCGTTCAAGCATCATTGCGGATTCTTAAACGTCACAATAGATCTTTATGTTTTTTCCCCGCTAGGCATTCCATTAGACGGCTGGCTTCTGGCACGAAGCAAGATGTGTCTATGCCCGGCTTCGAATTTTGTACCACAACGGTTCCCAAGTGCAGTCTAAAATGAAAAAAAAAAACTGATTCGACGACGGGGCAATTCACACTCGATCGACTAACGCCGATACAGAAAAGGCCACATTCGCACAGCTTATTCTTATACGTATGCGTAGTCCTTAAGAATAAGCCATGCAAAAAGCGAAACGAGCTTCATAGGTTTGCTTGGATATATACCAGTGTTTCACTTATCCTATTTTTTATCGTTCAGGATAACACGTACACCATGAGGTAAATTTTGCATTATTATTGTCATGTATTTCCCGTCTAGCTTCTTTCTGCTCGTCTAAAAATAATAAGAATATTTTGATTTCGCACGTGCTGTTCATTAGAGGGAGGCTACGCTATGCTTAAGTAGAAGGTGGATTCTATGCAGATAGTCGCCGACGCACATGAGAGGCTAAGCTTAACAAGATAAGACCGCTATTGAATTGTTGAAGAGATTGTTCGTTTCAAGTTTTGGCGCGTTTGTCTTCCTCTTTTGAGCGTTTCGTATCTATTTCATCTGCTGCAGCGGGAATCAAAGCTGGACACCGACGTTCCCAAGGGAAGAGCACTAGGGTACAGCGGTGGAAAGGGAAAAATCAGCTGGGAAATAGAGCTGACTATATTCCGGAGATATTTATTAATTAAGCCTTCGACTGCGCGTTAGGCACACAATTTCATCTGCTCAGATTGCGTTCGGTGATGAAGCTGAGCAAGGATATGTCTAGCAAAATGGAAGTCACAATCCCACCATTAACAAGGGCAAATAGAGCAGAGTTACGCAGGGTTACACCGTCGATACTGTTCCCCGCTGAAATTGCACGAAATCTGGATGATTTTTTTAGCCAGGATTTCTGTGCACACAAATAATAACTCCCACGAAATTGATTAATACAAAGAAATGGGCACGAAGTTCACATCACGTTTATTTGGGTTGTAAATATTGCATCCCATTGCTAGAGCGGACCATTTTCTGCAAATGTAATGACAGTGTCAGCTAATCGTAAGGTGTCCTGAAGTATTTCTATTTAAAAATTACACACAGTGTCCTTCTTGTTCAGAGTGCACATGTACACAGCTTCTCCGTCAGTAGTTAATAACCTACGTTGGTGCATTGGGCATGCGTTAGGGCTCCCTCTGCTAGCCGCGGGTATCGAGTTATATAATATCACGCCACCCCACTCATATTGATTACACTCGATCGTCTGGAGCTCACCGGACGTATTTGGAACGTGAGCTTGAGCAGTGAGATAGCAATGAAGCAACTGTATAGCTGTCGGACTACGCGAGACATTAATGTTTTGTAAATAAATGCGTACAAATTTCTGTACAACTTCCTGTACCGTATCTAATCTATAATAAAGCACTTCAGATACTTTGCGGTTCCGTTTGTCATAACAATGGTTGAACAAACATCGATCGTGCTCCATTAAGTCATCGGATTCTCTATGAATGTTTCAAGTCTTACGTATGTAGCTAGCTGGATCATATAGACTATTAGAACAAAACCCGTACACATGCAATATCATTTAATAACACAACATCTGTCCGGCACAACAGTGCCACGGTCTGTCTAGGTAACCAGACTTTCCAGTGTATATTGTTTTCGTTTCCCAACATTCCGCGTACTCTGTATGACTGTTTATAATTTAGATCTTCGTATCCAATTCAGTGTTTTCTTCTGTTTGACTATTTCTTCGGGCAGTTCCAGCTTTTGCGTGATAGCTAAATTACGAAGAAAGGACTCGCTTTGTTCACACAGATCGTATAGGATTAGGCCCAATTTTTAAAAAGGTGAAGGACAAAAAACCGATCGAGTGTGTGGCCTCTCCCTTTTGCCCCGTGTTTTTTTTGTAAGCAACAGCTAAGCGGACTTGCAACTTCGCAAAGACCTTTATCGAGAAGAGGAAATCGAGGAACGCCGTTATTAAAGCGTCTTGCTTGTTCGCCAACTCGTTAAAGCTCAACACGGTGGGGCAAGTATAAATTCTTTTCGCATATCTATTGTAATTAGTTAGCTGGATAGAGTGAACGCACCGAACCGGACGGTGAACGGACCGTCAGCGTATGGCAACACAGACACGCAACAATGAACGATAGATATTGGCTATTTTATAACTCTTGACAGAATCGGTATCTGAGATGGTGGTACACTTGACTTTGAATAATCTGCGTATGTATTTATCGTTCGAGCAAAAAGTGCTCGTTTTTTACGTGTGAATAACAGTCATTTAACAAAAACAATAGTTTATGCTCGTCATTTAATAGTGAGCTTGAAGTGCACCGCAATAAATAGTAGCAGCATCTCGGCAAAATGTTTTTGCCTATTTTTTTTTTTTTTTTATTTAAGCGTCGCCCCACGAGACTGGTGATGTTCGATATTTTAGGAGATAATTTGCGTTTCACATAGACGCGCAAATCGATATTAGTTAGCGCAAGCTAAAATCATGTTCCTATGGAATAGTTAATATGTATGGGCAATCAAATCTTAGGGCCGTCGCAAGCCATGCTGTAAAAAAAGATGTTTACATAATGCGTCGTTTTCTTACGTGATTTCATCTGTCCACTTCTCGATTTTCGACGATTGCTCCATAGAGATTAGCCCACGACACGACCAGAATGGCGCTGTTGTATCGTGTTAGGCGTTCACGGCCGGTCGAACAATATCTGAAGGGCTTTTAGAAATGCAACCAAGTTTATGTCATATGTGTGAAGGCTTGTCAGATAGTTTTATGGCCTGTTTCTTGAAGGTTCACTTTTTTTAGATCCTAGATAAAAGGTTCCTTCACCAAACGCTTTTGTCGATTGGTTGCTGCTGAAGGAGGGTCTAGGGTACGCTAATTCGCTTAACTTCTAGAACTACCGATATCGATCGTTTCTATCTTGACATTACGGAGGGTCTACCAAAATGAACATCTTGCGCACAGGATACAAAGCCTTTTGTTTATATAGCTTTGTTTATCTAATCGTATCTTATAAAAAGTTCTGTTCTATGAATCATTTCTCCGTTCTATGGCAGCATTTAACTAGTTCGATCGCATTAAATATTAAAGAACACCCATTTTCGACTACACAAATCTTCCCGGAGACTTTCATTTTTATTAGAACTTTAGGACTACACGTCATAGACGGAAGTGCATAGCACTAGCAGTTAGAAGCCGTCTTCAAAGCTGTCGACACAAACTGAATAATTCAATTGTTCCACGTAATAATTTTTTCTTAATCTAATAAATTAATTCATTTATATAGCAATAAATAAAAATTTAATTAGAAAAGATTTATTTAATTGTAAAAATCGTGCTTTTCGATTGGTATGGTAACTACTACTGTTAATGATGAAATGGAATATATTAGAATTCGCGGTCTCATTTGCTTCCACGGGCATTGTCCACAACTGTCTATCTGGAAATGCACCTGAGTACAGTTATATGTTGTTTTCTAAAAAAATCTGTAAGTTTCAGGGTGAATTAGATTGACACTTGAACAACATACGTACAAATATATACAGTCCAGCGTTAGTCACAAAACTTGATTATCCCTATACCCTTACCAATGGGATAGTCAAGGGATAATATAATCTCTCTCAAAAATTCTTAACGTAACAACATTTTATGTTCTATACGTCAGCGATACAATTTCGAGACGCCCTACAAACAAAGCATTTGCACAACGGGTAAAGGGGAAAAAAACCAATGTGCCATGCAGTGCGTACTTAGAGTCCGACAATACTTTGTTTCATTCTCTGTTCGCGTCGATCCATAGCAACGATTGCCACTGCTGCCTTATAAAATCGTCTAAGTAAACCTTAAAGAAACACCTTCACATAGAGTCATTCTCCGTTATTTGACGCTGTTGGCCTTCCATAGAACTCTCCTTGTCCGATTCCTCATTTTCCTTAACTTTGAGATAGAAAAGGCTCGTTGGCAGGACAACATATCCGACCTCAAAAGATGAACGGTGCTTCTGCGGCGGCTTGGGGGCTAAAGGGACTCTTCTCAGTGTTGAGGCAAGAATATCCCGAAGGGAGCTGACATGTTTGCTTAGTGTACTGCGTGTTTTCGGCTGTTCGCCCATCGCTGCTATTGAGCTCTAGCGTTCTGTGAAAAAAAAAAACAATATAGTCAGAATTAGTCCGTAACTAGTTCGTGCTTGGTGGACAAATCAATTTATATATATATATATGTATTCCGTTAACATGCAATGTATCGCATACGATATTAGCTCTAACGTTCAATATTCAAATTAAGTTATTTGTGGACGATCTAGTTCTGAGAACAGGTTTATAGAGAATGATTGGCACTTATTGAGGCTTTTTTTTTTTTTTTTTTTACTATAAATGGGAAATTCCGTGGTAGAAAAAATCGTTTTCGATAACGCATATTGTGTGCGTGCGTGCGTGCGCATGTGCGTATGCACTAATATGAAAGAACTAGAGCAGGTATCTTTGACAGAGGCGATTGATCATACTAAATACAATGCGTTCAGCTGGGTATGTTCTATTTGAACTGTTAGCGCTTAACTGACAAAACTAAAGGGACGTATATCGATTTTAGTACAAAGTTATCCGAAACCCATTCCGGCTTGTGCCGTGTCAACTTGCATGTCGTTTCCAAGAAAGCCAAAAGTTCCGTGCATCGATTTTGTCTGCCGCATTTGAAATATTACTCAGATTCACAATAACCCAGCAGTGTCGCTTGGAATCCGCTTTGGTCCCTACATGACGCGTCGTGGGTACGTTTTACTGTGACACGCCTATGGTAGAAGTTAACTACGGGATACGAATCTGTAACTCGATCAAAATTAACATATTTCGATAAAATACGATCGTTTCTGCGAGAAGAGGCAGTACGACGACAATTTTCGGAAACGAGATCGCTGAATCATGACACCTATTCTAAATACTGCTGTCCCATAGCATTATTGGATATAAAATGATAGGTCAATTTTTGTCGACACTTCCGGAATCCATTATCTACGTGAACATGTAATGAATTATTACTGGTTGACTGAAGGAAATGTTTTTACATATTTTGCCTTTGGGCCTGCGATCATCTACAGGTTTCTTTAGTCAAGCGTAGAGGTGTATCAGTAAACCATACCAGACTAAGTTGACGAGTGAGTGTCAACAATGGGGCGAGGTCATAGACAGAATCGGGTACAACATCTATAATTAATAACATATAGACTCCGGACGAGACAGCTGTCAGCTCTGCGAATTCATTAACGATATGTCTTACTCTAGGTAGAAAAAAGTGATTGTTTTCATATAGGACCTACAAAATAGTGATCGAGAACCAGCTGACGACGCACGTTCATGCCAGGAACAGTTGCCTGAACAAATGCAAGGCCTTCGATCGCCACGTACGTGCGGGAAGATAAATATCAGTAGTGTTTTTTCAAAAACATGTGTCCTTCGATGTAGCATAATCTGCTTGGAGGTTGATGCAAACGTACGCGTTGACTTCCAGAGGCCACCTAAAAATTTCACTAGGAGACAATTTTTATTTTGTTAATGTATAGGTATTTTTAACTATTATTATTTCAAATTTTAGGCGGCTTCAGGACTAGCAGTGTCCTATAATTTGAAAAGTTCCAAGATTACCATAGGCTGATTCAGTTTATGCCACTCCCAAAACGTGTCCGAGCCATGATTTCCCTGTATTCATTAATTAGCTCCCTATTATCACTACTACAATCGGGCGACACCTGACATCAAGTAGCAGTAATATGTAACTGGTAGACAGATCTAAGTGATCCTATCACCAGATAATTCAAGTTATCCCAGAATATGAATATAATCATTAGTGTCAATTTGACTTGCTACACAGTCAAAATGTCCTTGCGTGTTTAGGACATGGACATTGCTCAAAAGATTATCTACTTTTCAATGCTAATAGAGATTCGAAGCAATGCACAACCAATTTCAAATTCCAATTCATATATTTCAATTTCTTTATATGAATATCCTTGTGAAAAAGTTATTAAAAATAAGCATTACCAGCAAGCGCTTTGGTTTTTCCCTTCTACGAAAATATGTACTAACGTACGGCTTAGAATATTCCTTGCAAAACAACACGGTCTGTCTGTATAGCAAAAATCAATTCAAGCACTACATTTTTTTCGAACCAAATGTTTCTATCCGTGTTTAATTTCCAATTCAGCGGTTCGTTATCTGCTATCACCGACAGACCGCTTTGAAGGTATACTTGAGTAAAACTCTACGATGCCTTCTGATCCTTAATCTATTAAGTTACGAACAGATGACCAGCAATTAATTGCGCCTTCAGATGACAACCTTTTACACTGTTCTCATCCAACATCCGCTGGACGTACATCACAATGACTGCTGATATGTCATGCTTCTAAGTTTAACCATCGGACGGTCGGTGTATAGACTCGGGGGTGTGCAAACCAGATACACCTGATGCATTTTGCAGTACAGTTCGTGAACGGTATTGTAAATACATAGAATAAAAGTACTTGCCTTTAGATTGCGCCAGGAAAATCGTTTTGGATTTCACTATAATTTTCGACCCAGGCGACGGGAAACGGGGGCAGTGGTCGCGACTGATCAGCCCAGTTGCTTATAGTTGAAGGTGTCACAATCCAGAGTGGTATATTGTACATACGTCTCACGGTGTCATACTCTCCTAACAAGCAATAAATGAATGTAGCCTAGAGATTTGACGCTTTCACATAGAAAACACACGGCTACCTTTCCTTGCGATACACCAAACGGCTCGATCGCACTTGCAGCAGTCAAGATTTCAGTGTTCCGTTGCCGTTACGTGCTGTTATTTCGTTGCCATATCGCCTGCCGTTCGCTGCTGAAACAACTACCATAGCTGTTATTTAGCCTTTTCCGTCGGGCGTTCGAGCACAGCCAGCGGCTTAGATTAACTGTCGCGTTGTATCTGGCTGCTCGTCGAAAGAAAGCGGCAGTTATACGGAGCTGCGCTGACTTTAACAACTAAACAGATCCGCATTCTCGGGGCCATTGCGCGCAGCACGACGCCGCCGCCGCTTATGAGTGTTTGCGAAAAGCTGCTTTTGCAGCAACGGCGGCCGCCGCTGCTGGCGCCGTCAACGCTGTCTGTCTTTTGCTATAATAGAGGAGGCATTTACATGCCAGAAAGTTCCAAAACGGTGATGATGTGACGAAAGTGTCGTACGTTCATGTCGTTCGCTTATTCTGCGTATTATAGTGACGCGATAGAGAGAGTGGGAAGCTGATCGAGGAGCGGTGAGTAGGCCGCCGAATTTATCGGAATGTTTTTATTATTCAATCATTAATGAACCTTTCTCTGTTGCGCGTTACAAGCGCATATGGGACCGCGAACCCTTGTGGTTAAGCTATTCATGGCCGAATAGCTGTGTAACTTTTAATTAGTTCGATAACTTCATATAGGCCGATATATAGCTTCGTGAAAATTTCCCCTTGAAGCGACGGAAAAGTTAAGCAAGTAAGTTAAAGATGCAAGTTTTTCTGGGGACTGGGGACTATCTCTAACGCTGGGCGTATAGATACTTCGCTGGATGCAAGTTCAATATTTGCTAATGACGACAAGACGCCCAAACGTTTTTGATAGAATAACACAACCTATACTATTCGAGTTATAACTAGCTGGATTGGGTTACGGTCAATGAGAGCAGATCAGGTAAAACTTAACTATCAAGTCTGTGGTCGGACATGCAAATATTATCGAATAATTATAATTTATTCTTCTTCTTAATAAGTAGATGCAGAGGTCTCAGTTCAGAGGTACGCACAAGATTTGTCGTTGAATGTGGCTGCCATCCATGTTTACCGGCTGCGTTATTTCAGGACAGAATCGATACATCATTGAGACTATTTGGACTTCATCGGGGTAGGGTTAAACGACTTGGGTGCTAGTTGTTCTTTATTCAGGGGGTAGTTCAGAGACACCAAACGACTGATCTGACATGTATAAAATCACCTACAACGCTTACAGCGGCGACTGTCTTTAGACTCAAAGCTCAGCGTTTCCAAAAAGCGATATCAATGTCTTTCAGGGTCTATAAGATGGACGGCAAACTACGGAAGCAACATTTATTAGAAGCGCAAAGGTGCTATCGAAGTGATGCTATGGATCGTCTGCTAGTAAAAATGACATGAAGTGATGCCCATGAAAATTTTTCTTACAAAGTCGAATCGTTCCCTATGCAACATCTTTGCTTAATAATATGCTTGAGACTTACACGGCGTACAGCCGAGATAGGTAATAGCATTATAAAATGTTCTGTCCTTAAATATTTATATAATCTTGGTTATTCGTTCGCGGACCAGATGAAAGCGTTTAGATGAATGAATTAAAAACCAAAGTTTTTTTTGAACCAATTGAAATGTTTTATTTTTTAATTGTAGGCTATATTTTTTATTCTCAACACACTTAGTTAGATTATCTGATGTTTATAGTGGATATTTTTTGAGACAGACAGGAGTTTGACAATACCAGTGAGCTACAAGCGACGAACGCGCCGTTAGATCAGACTCATGGTTAACATACGCTTAATAGTAGACTCCCGCAGCGGCCTTTTTTGCTAGAAAAATAAAACTATCCAGTCGCAATTAAGGTCCAGCGTCGTGGTCCGTGGCTAAGCCTATTTAAACGATGAAGTCAAGTCCATTCTCTCAGGAATTGTGTTTAGTCGAACCTAATGCGTTCCTAGCAGTCTGCATAGCTTCATCTAACCTGCGAAAAATAATGGACAGCGCGAGAAAAACTGTCCCAGATTGCAAACATAGTTTTTTTCCGTTACTGGAAAATGAGAATATGCAAAATCGATTGAGTGTTTATGTGAGATTGTCGACGAGGTGTACGTTGTTAGATAACTTGAAATCACTGCCAATAGTGGAGATTCTGTGGACTTTGAACAATAATCATTGAAAAAAAGTCAGCACCGAATTACTGCTTGACAGTAAGCTTTATCGACCGGTACATTTTATTACCTCACTATCCCGGAGGACCCGTTAAGTATCATCATAGCCGAAACAGCCATTGCAATTATAATGCGAGGCACACAGTGAACAAAGTTAGGGAAGGCCTTGTCCGTTCTACACGAACATCTCCTCCCCCTAGGAACTGACGCTAGCACCTTTTCAGCTCACACAGTTTGGGCTACTGGTAAGTTGCATGCTTGCTTGAAGGGATGCCGCTAGCTCTTGTACCGCGCACATTTTCATCATCAGAGGCATCAACTAATCGTTTATTATGCTTGAATACTAAGATTAATAATAATAAGATTACTTGTTGTTCAGAGGATGCTTTTATCTGGCTATAAGGTGATGAATAAAGGACGGGAAGATACTCAGGCTCTTGCCTTCTGTATCTATCTCTTTAGGGCGGTCTCGTTGTATAATACCTACTAGTGTAAGGTGGTGAAATGAAATTGTTTTATCGGCGATATCGGAGGCGAAGTAATTCATTGCCTACTGATGAAGTTTACAGAGACAAGAAAAAATGTATGATCCTTTAATTGCTAAAACTTGACGCTTTTGACTCCAAAGAGTTTCTATTAAATTCGAATCTTAAACTTCCCAATGCGATTCTTTTACATGAATGACTATATCGAGTTCGTAACCAAAACATAACGTAAACCAGAATGTTGTCCATTTTGGCAAATAGATACAGAATTTGGAAAACACTGCTATATCCTTCTGCTCCCTTTTTGGAGCTGGGGGGTGGGGGGAAGGGGGACACTTTAAAGCTAGAGAGACATGTTAGGACAACATGTTCCATTCGTCGTTAGGTCGTATCAGTAAATATAAAAACCAGTAGACTCGTGGTCTTTAATTAAAGTCATTCAAAACTTCCAATTTTTTAATATAGTATAAATTTTCTTTGAAGTGAAGTCAGACGGTCACCAACGTAAAAGGTCTAAACGCTCTGGGAAACAGAAGAAACGAATCGGGCGAGATTTCCTTCTCGTTTTCAATCTCGCCTTGTCTTGTAACTGCTACCGCTAATATATTGGCCGTTTAAACGTTGCGTGTAACATTTCAGCGCTAAAAGTGCGTGATTAATACAGAAGGTATGGCAAGCTATCGTACTGAGGCGGTTCGTCGGTGTAATGTAAAGAATAAACATATCCAGCCTGGTAGGCGAGTTCATATTGTTTTGCGGTTAAATCAGTAAATTAAGAGAGATGATTTTAGAACCTCTCATATGAAACTTGAAAGGTATATAAATGGTCAAAAAAGGAAACATTAACTTATTCTTTATATTCAGCCATTTGCGGCCAGTAAATCGGTGTTTTTGTCTTTTTTATCTTCGAAATTACATTATAGTAGCAACGAGGATCATTATTCGATTCCGCCTTTGGGGGCTCGTTTTTGGGGCTCAAGCGGGTGCACGGATGACTCACTTGCTCCAGTCAAGAGTTTGATCTAATTGGGATTCTATAGTCATTTAGCAGCCATACGCCTAATGGTGTGCAAACTTTTAGCCCTATGCGACCATCAAAGTCGAATGCCAAGGATAGATTAGGATATATATCGCATATACGTAAATAAGCAGAGTCGTGGTAGGAAAGTAGAGAGTTCATTTAGCTTTGTAAAGCAAGTACATAGGGTTCGTAGAAGTTTGAGGTTTACCAAAGCCGATAGATACCGAGCGCTGGTAATGATATTCGAATCATAATCTACAGTGTCTGTACACTGATAGATGCTTTCGAATGTTGCTTGGGACTCTCAGAAAGTAATGAATTATGTTTTCTTCTTGTAGCTGACAACGATATTTGGTGCCTTTCAAATTTACATTGAAAATTGCATTGTATTATCTTCATGCGTTTCTATATATATATACATATATATATATATCTGCTTTTAGATGTCGTTCTCTTCACTAAACGAAATGAGTATCGATAACGACATTCACTTAACTAGATGACATTTAAGCTAATCATAAAAGTAATTTCTTTTTATAATGGAATACAAGACCAGCAAAACGGGTTAGCTGACGACGGAAGCAACAGTCAGTCTACAGGGTACAGCTAGCTAGTTCTATTTGTAAATACCTTTTTATTTCCGACTCAGCACTATTTCGAAAATTTTGGACCTTCCACATTTGCGTCGTCGGATACCGATTGCGGCTCAAAAATAACTTGATCTTCAAATGAGACAGGAATCCATGAGAGTTCATAATGTCACTGCAACGTTTAATTCAACAACTTCATTGGGCCTTGGCCGTAACAGTTAGAGAAAACTTACTGACCAATAACAACGCAGTTCAGATAGAAATCATTTACTGCTCCTGAATTGAAAAAAGCTAATGTTCTATGTGCAGTCTGCTAAGTTTTCTAATTTCGATTCAGTTTCTTGTCTAATCAAAGATGGAACTGCTTGGGATCATTTTAAGTACGAATACACACGTACACTGCGGTTTCATAATGTAGAAACACGAGGAAAAGCTGCAGCGATCTACAGTATAGTGCAGGCGACATCCGAAATATCTGAATAGTGCCACAGAACGAAAAACTAGTATTCTCTTGTGGTGAGTGGGTCTGACTGGTTAAGTACTCCCTGAACACCCAGCACGCACTAGCCTATGGAGAAACGACTATCATCTCGTCATAACCACTGCGGCTCTATGCAACATCAGTGGACGGGTAAAGTGGGAAGAAACCCCTCCTAATGAAATCACAAAGTCAACGTTGGATTAGATAGGCAATGGACAGAAGCTGTATAGATCGTATCACTAGGTAATATGCATTTGTTGCAGTATTTGCTTGTAATATCTTTACCACTAGTAGTTTTATTGCGGTAGGGATGGAGAGTTACGTACTGTACCTTTAATTATCTGTCTGTCAATAACGGCGTGACAATAGTTTATGCACACTCGTTTTGTTGATTCTATATAGATATAGCATGATTGTTTTGCATAGAGAAATATTTTTTGAATGTGTCCTAGCTTTTCCGTTGGTGTATAACGGCTTTTGAACATTGTTAGTAATAGAAGTTATATTAATATAGGATACGCGAAATGAAGGGCTCGTTCCCATCGAATACGAGACGTTCTGCTTAGCACACGCTACTCTATATTCCTGAGTCCGTTACTTTATATTCTCATCGTCGTTTAGTTTCAGGTTAATTTTGTAGCAGTTACTTAACTGGATTTTGTTTGAAAGATTTTTGTTTACATTGGAAACTTGACATAATTTCCATTCAACCCAGAGCCACAGCTACCAAACTTTTATTATGTTAACCCCATTACGCGCCCCATCTTTTAGTTCTGACAAATTGCCTGTTAAACCAGCTTACACCGCGTTTTTTGTAGGTATTAGACAGGTTTTCCTGCCACGAAATTATGTTTTCGATTGCTTTAGCTAGGGGCTGCTTGTTAATTGCATTCCAAAGCATTCGACTGGCTTCTAGTATAGGGTCGTTATTAACTTAAGTAATAATTTTCCGTTATCTATAAGTTCTTAAGGCCAAACGATACTGCATACTAATGATTCAATGCAACGAACTTTCTTGCACGGCCTTCAGGTCTCGTTGTCTGTTCATTATCAAACGCTGCATCATATACCTCTATTGTGACTATAATCGTATAGGTCATTATCTAATCGTATAGGTACTATCGACGGAACGTATTGTTCTATTGTGAAGATTATAATCGACTTTTTTTTAGAAAATCTCTCCTTGGTGCTTGCAGAATCAAAAGTTTCAAAAGAAAATTCAAAAGTTAAAGGTAAACAAATGTTGTATTCGTTTATAAAAAAAAATTTTAATGTAGTCCGTAATAACAATATTTAAATACGTCGTGTTTGTGTTCATCAATTGAAAAAATCCAGCAAATCGCGAAGTCACAAAGAGGAAATACCTACTGTGCTTATTAAGCATAGCTTAATGAAGCAAATGTACTACATTGTATTAAATTGTAACTTCTGATTCTGCTGGTATAATCACTTTTATGGCCAACCGCTTAGAAGGTTCAGATTTTATTATCGGCTTAATTATAATGACTAATTTTTATTCTCAAAGTATAATAGAAATTTTAAATGAATCAAATTGTTATATATTTATTACTATTTTATTGTTTTTAAGTGCTGTAAAAGAGCTCAAATACATTTTGCTTATTGATTACCCGCTGCTATAGCAGCTCCTACCCCGTTTCGGCTCTAGTCCACCCTTCAACTCTTGTTACAGCTGATATTTAATTACTGTTACTTTAACTATATTTTTTTTTATTTATTATCATTTACTATACAGCGTCAAAAACTAGTCTAGATTATATATATATATATATAAAAGATAATATTAAGTTGTTTTGAAAGAACTGTGTCATAGTTCACTATCAGTGTGACCAAATAGTTGTCGCTTCCGTTCCATGACCCATTTTAGAATAGCCATCGGAAGCATTTAGTTAAAATGCAAATAATGGTTTATGCTTAGGACTTTTTGCCATAGTGAACTACACTCCAGCTAGCACAGACACTGCAAAATCACAAAGCTTGTTTATAGAAGGCACACAATACTAAATAATAGAAACGGCCAGCCATTTTGGGAACTTCAAAGAGCCATCTTCACTATAACAGGTTTGTGCTTGATCTATACTAGTATCAATATAAACCACCAAGTAAAGCAACTGTTTCGTCTTCGGCTTGCGCGGATTTGTCATTTGCTCATAATATCTGTCTATTTGAAAGGCTTGCCTAAAAACATCGGTGTTTTTCATAGCACGTTCAGTGCATTTTGTGTCAGTTATTTTTAACAACAGGACTAAAACCTATTAACTAGACAGCCGCTAGAATACCACCCTAATTTGCCGTCAGTCGAAGTTGAGTGGCCTGAAATCATGGAAATGCCTTACAATTTTACAAAATAGTACCTAAATAGTGCACTTTTATTTTTAAGTGCTAATCGCCCTTCAGAGCTCATATTGTAGTCGAAGCACGCTTCGCAGATAAACCAATTTATGATGACCAATGTGTAATATTGAGCTGTGCTATGTTTTAGCATTACCTGAAAACATACACGACTATAATGTAACGTGTACTCTCATACGTCAGAAGAATCATAGGGAAAACTTTGTAAATCTTCCGAAGTTTCAAACATTGAGAAATAATCATGGAGAGGATAAGATGAAATAGGTATCCACAGCTGGCATAAAAGAAATAGATACTGCATTCGTATACTTAGCAACCTCAAGTCATGCGCATATTAAAAAAGAAAATATAAGTGAATAAAAATATTATGGAAGCCGCTTTGTATTAAAGTAATGTCAATTTCAATAAACGTACGAGTCAACAATATTGTACCTCTGACCCTAACCTCTGACTTAAGTTATCATTGCGGTTTATACAGTGCTTTAAGAAATACATATTTTGAAAGGTAATACGGCCGACCTGGCTACGGAATTCTACCTAGTCTTTGTTCTTTTTGCCAGTGCTCTACAATGCAGACGTATGAATATTTGAATTTATGTGAAACACTCCACGGTCCCGTTCATAGCACTCGGATGAGGCTACTGACGAGGCCGCGGAATTATTTAGAAAATGCTGTATGTTGCGTTTTACTAGCAGCGTATAATACTGAGCGAGCGCGATGTTCACTATGAATTTACAGCCGGTCAGAAGAAATTCGTAGATTGGTCTGCAAAAATTTCGCAGGATACGAAAAGGGCTAGCGGACATTAAAAGGGTGGCACTTAAAATGTGCCATCATGGTTGATGTTATTCTTTTCATTTATATTGCATCTCTTTAGATTTAAAAGGTTTTGGTTATCTAGCAAAGGTGTCTCTCTAGCTTAGGTAAGCGCTCATTTTAAACAAAAATCTAATTAATCGATAACTAATTACAGGCAAAGAAAACCGCGCGTCCACGCTAAAAATGAAAGACAAACTGCGAGATAAAACGTCAAATAAAATATATGATACAGTATATCTTTATTTTACCAAATGCTCATCTCTACTATAATTCCCGATGAATCTATGACAGCTGTGCTTGGAGTCTGATTCCTGTGCATGACAATGGCACACGACTCAGCCAATCATGCGTAAGCATTCTATTGGGATAAATGCAATAAAATATAAGCGTAGAGGATCGTTTAATACTTGCGAGAGGCTTCTACGTAGAATAATTAATGAACTGACATATTTTGAGCACTGCTTTAGTTTGTCGGCCATAAGTGCAGGCCAACCTTTGTCCATAGTTCTGTACATATAAGTGTGTATTTTTTTTTGATACAAAATAAACAACTTATTAACACAAGCTAATGTAAGACTTATTGGTAAAATCTTTCACAACACTAAAGGCACTATTTTTAATTGCATTTATTCGCTTTGTGCACACACATGGTTGGGGAAGATAACCCTGAGTACGAATGGTTCATCTTTGTATTTCTCACACGTATTATAGGCCGAAAATTTTTTCAATCTACTGACGGATGACTCCCTCCTCGATAAGTCGGGTGGCTACGGCTGCCACTAACCCAGCGCCTTTTCCGCTACCGTCCTCTGCTAGCATCAACTTAAACTAAACAATATAAAAAACAAGGAAAAAAATGCAACTTTTTAGAGAAAGTGAAGCTCTTAGCTAGCATACGAAGACCCGTAAACGTATTTTGCATTAAAAAGTTTCGACCTGTATAATGGCGCCTATTTCTGTAAGGTACAATTGTGTAGCAGTACAGCCCTTCTTGACGTACGTGTCGCGGTACTGCAGAACATAGTTCTAAATCTAGACATCTGAGTCATCTGCGACTTGCGTCCCACGTGAGGCACTCACTACATATAAACAAATATGCTTTTAAAAGCATGTTGTGCATTACGTGTAAAATAACAAAAAAATCTTGCGAAAAAAACTCGTTCTCAAGTTTAGCTTTAAGTCGTTGGAACTTAACGCAGGACAATTGTGCTCTTTTTGTAAAAAAATGTTTATCTACCTTTTGAAAAGGGCTACTATAGCTAAGCTTAATGTGTCTTCGTAAGACTTTGTGATGTGCGCGAGATGTTTCTGTTTTGGTATTATTTCATTCTATATCGAAACGGCAAAATATTTAGCCTTACGGTAAAATGTGATAAGTGAAACTGAATGTTCGATCGGACACACGATACGTACCCATGTAGCTCCGACAAACGTTCTGATGCGTTTTTAATTAATCCGTGCCTTTCAAGTTAATACGGTTGTGTACTTTAGTTCCAAAGATGTAAAATTATAAACAAAATCGCTTCCGTAGCATAGTAGAAACACTGACATAATGATAAATAGTAATCCTTGCAAAATATGGAATTCAGTGACAAACACAATGGCAGTACATCTGCGTATAGATCTTTATTAATAGAGTAAGTTAATTTAATCGAATGTGGTACCTTGCGATCTGGTGCCATAAAACGAAGAAACTCCTCCATCATTTTGTGAAATTCAGGATGGTATTTGAAGAGTGAGCCGTCAATCGCTACGGTGCAACTAGTACGGTTCATACGCTCAAGCAGAGTTGCAGTACCTATAAAATTAATGAGAACTAAGTAGTTGAACGAACGCTGATAATTTGAGAATATATTGTATATCCTGGCTTATATGAAATATCATGTACGAATTATGATCAGAATTTTACGCTTCCACGCAACTATTTTTATATTAAAAATTATAGTTCTCCCAACTACAATAATATCTATCTATCGCTCTCATACAAGGTATAGTCGTACGAATAACAGCTCACCTTAATTTAAAAAAAAAAACGTTACATTCAACTGGTCAAGTCTACAAAAATTTTACTAAGCTGTATTTTCGGGAGTTTAGCCAAAAATAATTTTGATAACAGCGGAAAGTCTCCTTATTCGATTAAACCCGAGAAGTGAATCTCAAAAACCGGGTTTCTTTTCTTTTTGGTAATTGACTAAGCACTTGCTCAGTCCCAATTTCATTCAACGCAAGCAATAGTTTAAATGAAAGGTGATGTTCGCACATATTAGACACATTTCCATATTAACGCACAAAAACGGGAGTCCCATTAACCTCATAGTCATACAGAACGCTTTAGGTATTAAAGATGAATAGTTTATGATTTTATAGTACCTACTATAATCCTGCTAGCCCCTAGCCAGTAAGCTCTCCGTTTTGTCTGACAGGTGAAGGGTGTACTCAAAATATAAATCTTCTAGAACTGTAACAACGAAACTAGTCATGACAATGACATTTGTCTTCTGACCGTTACAATAATGATCGGACGGCAAGACGGAGAGTTCGTACTTGATCAGCCCTGAAGATGCTTCATAGATAGTTTACTATGTTGGGGGGTTGGTATTTATACGATGAACTGTGCGGGCGAGTGAGAAGCGAAATTGATATTTCCATTTGGATGCTATCAAGGGGAAATGCGACTTACAGATGGAAACAAGCAAAGCTCCTCGAGTCGAGGCTACTCCACAGGCATAACGAATAATCTTCAGATCATCTTCGGTTGGGTGCGAATAGCCGAGTCTTTCCAAGACCTGTGCTTCCTGCTGGATGTTGTCCTCGCTGGTTATTCAAGGTAATCAGACAAAATCAGTTGTAATAGCGGCAATGAGAACATTCGTCGAACAGACCTTTCGATTCAGGGCATAGAGACTGCCCGACTACGCATTGAATACAGTGCGAAAAGACTTTGACTATTTGGGTTATTAGTGCACAAACAAACTCGAACCAAATTGAAAATTATACGTACGTTTCGAATGCGGAGACGTCGGCAGTGGTAAATGTCTGTTGTGTAAGCAGCGTCTCTGAGGCTCGTCCGTCAAACAGAAGTCCTTCCCGAATTAATTTTACCAACACGTTTCGCACCAGCTCTCCCAAAAACTTACCCGCAAACATCTTCTCAAAGCTAACGTACAGACAGCATGTCAATTATATGTTTACCGCTCAATTTGACAGTACAGAATAGAGATATGGAAAAATCTTTGCTAGCTTTAGTGTTAATATTATTTCATTGCTAATTATTTTCAGCCTATATATATATTCTTAATTATATAGCATTCGCCTGTTCGGTTCAGGCTTACAATGTATGACAACCGTCTGCAATGTTATGTCGTTTGGCGTCTGAGCCATTGAGGGTGCAAGAATCTTCAGCTTGCTTTATGCATTCACCTCAGAATAGTAGAAAAAAAAAACAACGTTGTTTTTTTTGTTTCTTATAAATGAATGTACTCTGTGTTGATGGATCTCTAGATAAGTGAGGCTTGCGTACGTAAAGGAGCCAACGAGTAGCGAGTTAGTGTCCACAGCGTTGTCGAACTCGGTCTTCATGAAGTTGAGTACGCCGTTATCTCCAAACGCTCCCCATTCCACGTCTACGACGACCTCAGTGATTTGGCCCGCTGGGTCTTTGAATTTCGGCATATTTGCTACCTGAAAACAGTGAGAACATTTTTTTTATTTCTTAACCATATTGGTATTAGAACCTTGCACGTTCAAAATTCTACGGTAAATACATATCCGCACAAAACATTTGCTGGATAGGAAAGATTGTATAATGATCAGGCCACTGTTGGAATAATGAGATAGAAAAAAGCCTGACCTTCTCCATGTAGCATGCGTTTGAGCCTGTCCCAAGAATCATGCCGATGTAGCAGTTATGATCGATATACGCGCCTTTTACCAAAGTCCCGGTTGTATCATTTACCACGGCCACAACATTTACCGATGTTACCTGTAGCGGTTAACATTGCAACGAGGAGCACGTAAAGGCACAATGTCGTGTACATAAATAACAATTACTGTGTAAAAACAGTGATATTTACGTTACCCTTAGAGAACCCTAGAATGGCATTTTAGAATGCAAGCCTTTGCCTTGGGGGGTGGAACGATTCATTGATAATATCCGCACAACGAGCAATTACATCTATGACATCACTGAAGATTGCGTGTTATCTATTGAAGCTGGCATTTTTCATATGTCATAGATAGGCACACAATGCATTGCCGTTTTTTCTATTACTAATACGCAGCAGAAGCACGATTAGTGGCGAATATTTTTTTTTAAAAGTCATAAGAGGTAAACATAGCGGAATATCGTGTTAATAATTCATATTTTGTTATTTTCGACATATACGAATGTATATGTTATCGCCTAGGACTAAACGACAATAGTTAATCGTTTAACTCATTATAGTACCCCGAATGAAATAACACGACACATTCTCGGAGTAAAATTATTTTTATCAGGTCGAACTTATCTGTATAATGTCACCAAATCACGATAAAATTGTTAGATGATATAGGCAGGCCAACGTGGATTATAGAATCGCCAGGTTGTTTAGGTATATTAGGACATGACTATGCCCTGCGACAGCAGGTACAGGGCGCTCCGCTTTCCACACATGGTCAGCAGCTGCTTTGAGAGCTGGGGGCCATGTATAATGTACGATGCGATTAAGATGACAAAGATATGACTCTACTGATGCACCTCGTTGGAACCAGAGGCAAATTAAGGGTGTTAATCTATGTATGACTAATACCAAGTCAGCGAGTCTCATTTATAGCAAATGGTAACTGAATTACTGCTGGCATCCATGATATTGAGTTAAGGCTCTTTGAGAGACTAACAGGGCAGTGTTCCAGAAAAGCCCTTTATGGGACCTTTTGAGCTTTCGGTACTGCCGATCTTTCTCTCGAGATAGCGGAACTAAGATATCACCTCATCAATTATAGTACCACTTACCGTGTTTAGAACAGCGAAAACAAAAACAACGATTGTGAAGTAACCTGGACGACAAAATAATGATCATAGAAAAATCGTTGGCTAAAAAATGGTATGTAACGAATTTTACGATGATTTGTTCGAGGCTACGTTTATGTTCTTTGTGATTGGTACTACGTTTCTATTACTAGTAGCCTACGTTATGTAAAACAAAACTATGACAATACCTGATTTTGTCGAGCGGTATATGCCATGATGTAGTATAGAGCGATTCAAAAGTTGATATGTTTTTGACAAATAAACAGAAAATATATATATGTACTGGCTGATCAGTCCACGCGACTCTTTATATTTTTTTTCCAGTTCGTAGGGCGGTACGAATCCGATAAATTATAATTAACAAAGTGACGCAGATGACTGGATCGAAAGCAGACACAAGTTCGCTTGCCGAAAACCCATGAGCGTCTAATAACCCTGTACATATACAATACATAGATTTGTCAATTGCGCTTAATTAGAGATCTGAACAGTCAATTAAAGTTAACCGGCTAATTTGTTCGCCAAATGCTTTGCCAAGTATTAATAGTTTTTTGCCAAACTTTATACCTACCCCTTTACGGTTCAGGGCTTCCTTGAGCATCTGAACGGCGTCATTTCCAACTACGCCGGTGCAGTTAAAGCTTTTCGTCCATGAAACAAGAATGCCTTTGTTCAGCGCTTTTTGGGTCATTGGGAACGAAAAACAGAACCCGAGATTGAGCCTTTTTTCGCGAAGCTCCTTTTCGACCAAAAAATCATCGATACAGGACGCTAAAAAGTCAAACAGCTAAAAAATGGTTTTATTAATGATCAAATATTGACATTGACAGTTCTAGCTGACATACGTCTAAGCAAGATGAAACTAATGGTGATATTTCTACGTTTTGCCCTTATTACGCTCTTGAAGTACCACTTAAAGGTAATATCGGTTATTTATTGATCAAAGTCGTGTTTATTCATCGTGAGGCTATAACTTCCTCTAGTAGGTAAATGATTAATACTCGATATTTCTTATCCAACAAAACCTTAAGTATTTATATATGTATAGTTTACCTGTCATCCATACTTTTGTTTCGGTTAGTATAACTTTGTAAGTGTCCATTATAAGATAAGTATAGCATTTTCCTAACGAAAGCGATAGAGAGGGTACTTTCTCTTTTAATACAAATGGTAAACACACAAAAAATGATCTCATAATGAGAAAAGATGATCCTTTCGGCCTGTCGCTCGAGTTCATAACATAATAGCGGACGGCTCAAAATTTGGCTATATACAAAAACAACCATTGCTCCGCTGAATGAATTCTGTCATTAAGGAGACAATGCTTCCTTTAATGTTGGGAACACTACTTGCCATACAACCCAGAGCATTTTCAAAATCGCGCAGGTACTTACATGTTCACCTGGTCCCAGACGTGTACTCTCTGGTACAGAGTGGTACTTGATATGGTACTCGGGCGAACTGATGCTTGGGTTTATAACGACGTGAATTACGCGAAAATTGGTACCGCCTAGGTCTAGCGCTAGAAATTCACCATTCTCTGCCGCCAGAACAAATTCAAGCAAAACTACAGTTAAATCTATAGACGCATCATTACAGAAACGTATCTCTTGCCTATCGTACGAGAGAAGTTGTGACATGCTACGTAAAAAACATCGATTGAAATATGGTTTGACAGATCTGAAGCGAAAGACGCCAGTTGTACAGGTCCGTGTTGCTTTTTGTAAACGAGAAAATGAGGAATGCGAAAAAGCTCAGAGAAAATGAAGAAGAAAACAGATTTCTTAATTAGAAATCACGATTAATGCAAAGAAGAAAAAGCATTCTCATGAAAACGTCACAATATCGAATATTAGCAATTTTCGCACCACTCCCGTTTGGAAGTCCCGGCAGGAAGGTGTTCTCCATCTGAAGACTGCTTTGTCTTTTGGGATTTTCCTGTAGACCCAATTCAAGCTCATTGATAAAAACCTCCTTGATTTTGAAAACGCTGTAGCGGCCCAGCACCAACGGTCGAAGGACGTTCTCCACCTAAAAAAAAAACAATCTAACTTTTATTGGTATTGCTTAAGATGCCTTTTGATATGTAGTATTATTTTTAAGTGCTGTAATTCTATCCCCAAAAAACTGGTACAACCCAATCTAAGATTAAACGTGCGGAAAAATTAACCTTTTTAAACAGGTATTGTTCCTACAGGTTTTTTTTTTATATGTTAATGGTTGAATCAGCACACGGTGTTTACCCTCTATTATTGGTCTGCAAGCATTATAAACGTAATGGTCCATGATGGCGAACCTTGCGACTAAATATCATATCTTATAAATTGATAATATAGATACCAATTTTAAAATGAGATAATAAGCAAGTTTTTCTTATTGTCTTTTTTACTCTCGGTTCCATTCGAAGGTATATATTGCAACGGTCATCTTCTTTACATACAAATGTCTCGGGCACCGTTCGAATAATGTTTATCATAACAAATGTTATTTTAACAAATAGACTACGGGTTTGATATCAAGAGTACGCCATGAAGCTTTAGGTTTTGCGTTTGGCTGGGGCGTTGCAAGAAGCGCTTAGTCCATCGTTTTGAAAACTTACAAAAAAAAAAAAAAAAGAAACCGAAAACAAAAAATTAAAACCATTAATAGTTTTGGGCTCGAAAAACTAAAAAAAAAAAAAAAAAAAAAAAAAAAAAAAGATACAAATTCAGTCAAAAATAATATGGAAATCGGAAAAGCCTTATTTGAAAAGCGGCCCGTTTTGTCTTATACTATATGCTCGAACATACTTATATGCAATAATCAATTTCGCGCTGCCGACCAGCGAAGAAGCGACGTATGCTTGAGCCTATAGGAATACCTAAAGATTCTTTAAATCCTCTTAAATGCCCTCGAATGTTCTGTGTAACGACTGCATGCACTCTTTTCGGTGTCACCGCCAATAAACTAGCTATTGTTGATGATGGAACGTAGTGACCTTGGTTGAAGGTCAAAGACTCTATCTGTACGACTTATGAGTTTGTACAGTAACTTGAATCATAACTGTGAAATGTGTCCTGAGGCGAATCTAGTTTAAATTTACAAGGAAAAAGGGGTCACCTTCAGTGCCCACATTGCTGCAATATTATGAGGTACAGCTTAAATTTAGTAAAATTTTTGAAAAGAGCCGTAAGGTCTTTCATGGTGACTTCGACGTATTTTTTATTGCAGCATTTTTGTGCGTTACAGGTAGACCCGGCTAGCATACATATATTCCATAATATTAAAAGAATCCAGTCTTTGCTTGATGTTCCAAATGTTCAAGCTATCGATCTCAGTAGCCACTGGATACTACCACATCAAAGGATACAAGGATCGACCAAGCGTTAGCCCTCAAGATAACCGCGACCCTGAGCGGAATATCTATTGACACTGGCAATTATTATTCGATCATCCGTAAAGCATTTTGAAAAAGTGTTTTTGAAAAGAACTTTCATGAGATACCTTTACACATAAACAGATGTAAAAAAAAAATAAAAATTCTGATAGAACACCTATCAGGCCATTTCAAAGGTTAATTAGATCAGGTCAGGGTCTTTACAATGTAATTAATGAGGACCTCGGACGACAAATATGAGAATGTATATAAGTTTTTTGATCAGTAGTAAAACCAACAACATGGACTAAATGCTGTTCCTGGTACAAATTAGAGTGGATAAAACGCATGAAAAATGCCAATACAGAAAGTAACATTCTAGCATTACTCTTTTACATCCCTAATATTTCTAAGCACGAATATCTGATTCAAACCCGTGGTTCCATTTTAATAGCTAGCGTAGAATTAATAGTGGCAGACTGATTTGAAATAGCTTTTGCGAAGGTAAGCCCTGGTACCCTAAAACTGCGGAGTGGTTACGACACAGAGCGACAGTATCAATGACTTATTATCTGAAAAGCTTTTTATCTAAACATAAGTTAAACGGACCGGCTCCCATTTACGAAACGATTCAAACTTGTTGATAAAAAATGATGGCTTTCGATAACTAACTCACATGTTCAAGTTTTTTTACTAAAAATATCAAAATAGAATAAGGCGAATGCATTGTCAGCGTAAGCTTTTCACCGAAAGGTAGGAACAAACCTTAGACTGTTTAGATGGGTTTTCGAGGGTGAATTTCGGGTAAAGGAAGTCATATTCATCGGGAATTGTTGGCTGAGCTTCACTGCTGTATTTCCGGCGGACAGGCATCTAAAATTCATCCAAATATAACCAAAACAATTACCTAGTTGGTCCTACAACACGAACATAAAAAAACCTCTAACAATGTATGTGCCGAAAGCGTGCCCAGGAGAAAGTCAACTATATCTATTTCAGTTTTGGTTAAGGCCGGTGCTAAACTCAGAGACAGCAAAGCAATTCTTTCGAGGTTAACTACTAGTTCGATCATGGAGCAAAATTCTATGTTTAGAAGTCCTATTTGAGACCAACGAATCCAATGTTCTACATGCTATTTAACGATCAACATACATTTTAATAAGAAAATTGGATTTCAATAGTATTTCTATTGGACACCATTCAATTAGGTCCATATTGTGCGTGGCAGATGCGTTTGGTCTTCTGTAAACCACCCATTTTTTGCGCATTCAAAGATATGCGAGCTTCTTTTGCTAAAGGCAGGCCGCTCATCCGAACATCCATATCTGCTTACGGTTGCTATTGGTAGATGCTATTTAATATAAGACAGTATGGTAAGAACCTCATAATGCATCGTCTCGCAGCACATTTTGCCCCTATTATCATCTCACAACACACACACACGTTCATTTACTCTTCTTACACGTGGACCCAGCCGCTCGCCTATGAAGCATACACATTTGTTTCCGGTCACAGCGCAAATCATTCATTCCCATTAGCTTTTCTATTTACAAAAAGCCGTTCATTATAAGAAACTTGGAACAAATGCGGCGACCCTTCATAAAACAAGTAGCAGTATAGGTTTTTCTCCTAAATCATATTCTGCTTAAACTGTTAACATAAGGCTTTGCTTACAGCATCCGTCTTGACTATGCCGTGTGGCCTCATAGATATTTTAGAGCTACAGGTGAACACGTGCGCAATTCATGTCAGGCAGCAGGCGCAGATAAAAGAAAAACTAACTTGTCACGGTAAAATTTTGAGGCTGGCCTAATCAAGATGCTGTGTAACAACGAGTGAGTACTGCTGTAAATTGGAGTTGCTTGTACCATCGTAGCAAATCGCCTAGGAACTATTTCCACAATGCCCTGTCACGCAGTTGTTTGAAATTGTTACCGAAATGCATTTGTAATAGTTAGGAAAAGTAACGTTTGTATGGGGAAGAAGCTGAAATTTACAACAATATCGCATTTTTGAGCTTAATATTTACTTGTATGGGTAAAAAATAATCCATATCTATTTGTGTTTGGGTCTTACCGATGAATGCATTATGCTAACGCGGATAATATTCCTTTTCTGAAGATTTTAAATTTGCTGTAAAGGGATCAGCCGTTTAGTTTATCAACAAAGCCGATACTGGAAAATTTTTGGGAGTTTAATAAAGTTCTTCTTCTAATAAACATATCTTGTAACATCGGTAAAAAGATGGCGTTAATGTTGATCGCCTAAAGCGCGTCATAATAGGGTCAGACTGAAAACTGCTGCACTCTATTTTGAAAAATCCAAGAAATCGAAATTGTTGTATTATGACTGGTCGCTGTGAGTGACCGACGACAATGCTTGGATCAATCTCAGTCTCATAGATCAGACCCAAATTTGTTACAACTAAAACCGAGCAATGTATTTACTGAAAACTGTTGAAAAATCACTTCGAAAATTAAATTAACATTGTGATAAATACATAATTTAAAAAGAAGTACGAAAACCTCCGAGGATTCCTTCAAAAGTTTCATCTTGGATTTTATGCGACACTCGGAATTTACCGCATCACTTATCCAAGCAAAAACCATATATCGAATAAAAATAAATTGGTAATCGATAGATGCCATTTAGCTCAAGCCAGCAGAAACAACATCGAGATAGGTGGGTAATCTTACTTTGGATACGTCGAAAAAGTCAACGTCTACGTTGCTCTACAGCAAAATCAGACTAATGTACTGCTAATTATATAGTATTAGTCGCCCCGAATTCACGAAATTTCAAATAATTAGTAATATCCGTAAAGATTACCGCCACGTTTGATTCCAGCTGATTCTTACGCAACTCCCCTTTTTGATTCCTCAAGACAAAAGGGGGCGAAAATAAAATGCCATTTTTTCTCTAGTAACATAAGTTCTGCGCGTGTCGATTTATCCTTAGAAAACACAGAAGCAGACACAATTACTCGCTTGAAATAAAGGGTCATTTTAATCTATGTTCTTTGTAGCGGCATTCGCGTCTCTAAAAAGCGCACGCTTTATTGGGGAAGATGCGGATAAGAAATTCGCCCGATGGGCCTCTGACGCTGATAACGTGACAAATAATAGAAGAATACCGTTATCAGGTGTCGAATTCCATTTTAGGAAAGATGTTTTTAACATTGGGGACCAGCATCCGCAACGACAACGAACGCCAAGGAGCTACTCAATTTTTCAAATAATATTGCAGTATGGTTGCTTTATTCGCGCACTCAAGAAGCAAGTATCACCATCTATTGGGCACTAACAGCCATCACATGTCTTTAGAGCAAGGCTTTATGCTCATTTGTAGAAAAAAAGAAGCAAGTTTTGGTTGAATACGATTGTCACGAACAGCTAACCTTCAATCACTTTTCAGGTACAGAAGTAAGTTACTGACCGTTTTGTTTCGGTTGATGAGTAGGTACTTTAGTTTATAGGTTATACTTAACGAGCAAGCGAAGGCAGAGTCACGAAATCCGAAAGTTCAAGGTTGGAAGGCTGTGTCTGTGACAGTTCAGTGCAACTCTTGTATGAGTATATAATATAGGTGAATGACTCTTCAAAAGTCAGGTGGCGTTAAAAGACACAACGGTGAGACGGACGCGCACTCACGAGGCAACGTTTTGCTGGATGCAGTGGAGAGCTAAGACCGACTGACAATGGCGCGACGACGAGTGTGAAGCTAAGTGATGATGGCGCGTTGTGGATGAGGGGGAAAAACGCTTGCCAAACAGGAGGGTCCGTGTTCGTTGTATTATTCGCACAAACCTTCCCTTCGAACTAGCTAAAAAGCCAATTGGGTTGTGCACTTGACGACTCGAAAGGAAGACCGTTCCGGACAGCGTGATGAAGTTCTCTTTCTTGCGCCACTCCACACTATAGCAATGGAGGCTCTGTTTCCTAAAACGTTGCTCCTGAAGCTACCGGTGGCTGTTTGTGCGCCCTTAGCAGGAGCACCGGGACCAAAGGCAGTCGAACGAAACTGTCCGCGCCAATAGAAGAGGTCACATATTCAAACCACACTTGAACAAGACAGGGAGCAACAAACGATAGTCACTAGATAAAGTGAATGACATGATTTACGCAACTGTGGTATTTTAATGGTGGAAATCAGGTTTTTATTTTTTACTATCAATCAAGCGAAATATTCTCCACGTCACTTTGTGGGGGCCTTATTATCCCAATCTTTGTAATCGGGTCGCTAGGATGTTAACAGCTTTTGAATTAGATTTCATTAAATATTCTGTTAGGCCCAGTGCTCAGAACTTTCTATAATGTAAACTTGTATCAAAGTAATAATCTTATTCTGTTAGGTGCCTAAACACACTGAAATCTCTTCTGAACTAGTTCAATTCAGATGCGCCTAAACTAACCTAACATGAAACCTGTAGGCAACGCTCACCTCACTTAAACTCAGTTTTTTTTTTTTCGAAATAAACGCGTTGTTTGCCGCTCGAGTAGTCAGTCTTATAGATCTTGCTATCAAAGTTGAAGCTTTGCTGTTATAACGCTGAAGTACCACAGCTTAACTGCATGGTTCCTGAAAAGTGGTGCAGACCTATGAGCGTTTATACTATGGCACATACATATATATATATATATATACTATACTGATAAATCGCCGACCGGTGTTAGCGACTGACATATAGGTTCTTTTCACAAACGCATGGTCCGCCGTAGAAGAAAAAGCCCGGCCAGCTCATAATAGCTCTGCTTACCGGTCATGGGGAAAATGAATGATGCTGGCTAACCATACCTTTTCAGCCGTCCTAACATTGATCTTTGTCAGTTCTGCTGAATCGATATAGAAGTCGGATGGTCGGCACATGAAATCACGGATCGAAGGCAAAATTACGCGATTGCATTGCCTATTTCAATGAAGGTAACTTACGGATTATTATCCGTATAGAGGACCAATAAGTCAACAGTAAACGAAATATATATTTATAGATTTTCCTTAAACATACCTCTCTGGTTGTTGGGGTTTTCAAGGAGGTACCAACAGAAACAGTATGTAGTTGTGGCCGAAAAAGGGCATTTTTCATTTAATGACAATCTAAAAATGCTGCAAGGGATGATTATTTAGTATCAGAAGTGAACTGATAAAGATAGACATCAACGACGGTTACTATTTAGAGACAGCGCTGAGCTACTGTATAAATCGTCTCGCAAGTTTTTTCATGTGCCGCTTTATTACGGGCATATTGCGCGGATGTTCGTATTTTAGGCTACCCAATAGAGAAGTTCCGGGGCAATAGAAAACATGTTTTTTCAAAGTAGCCAGTCGCCACGTGAACACGAGGGCAACTCAGTATTGTAGCAGTATAAACCAGATATCAGTTGTGACCTGTAATGAATGCAGATGGAAGAAAAAGAGCAGAACCTGCTCTAAATTTTACTAAAAAAATAGTCAGCTTTTGCGCAAAGGTACGCAGTGACGTCTCCTTTAGAGCTCATGTGCTGCTACGTACGAATGAAGAAAGCCTTATTATTAAACTAAAACTAAGAGTGATTTTATGGATGATGTATCGCAACGTCTAATAGTAGTCTGTGACATAGAATACATAGATGGACGTCACATGAAATTTCAAGCAATGCGTGTTTACGTGACTAGCAATCTCGGCGGGATCAGATTTAGCCATCGAGTCTAAGCCTTTCATTCGGCTCACATAATATACATTTAATTTTCGCGATGCCTGGTTATACCGGGAAGTTTCAAAGAGAAAAAACTAAGCATAGAACCCGTTTTTTACATTTATTTGCCAGCAAAGTCAGTGCCAATTTACTGTTAGATTCTTCTAAGGGCTACCATTTTCATCATATTCGGTAGATCTTATAATTCTAAGCCAAACTTTTTTCTCTAAAGATAATATGTTGCGACAAATGTAGGGCAGTTTGATCACTGTCTGGACATTTGTGCGCCGTAGGATTCCCGCCAAAAGGAATAGCATAACGAGATGTTCACAAACTTAGTTGTATTATATTTTTTGTTGATTATTTTATATATACAATTGTATATTTTTATATAATATTTTCAGCCAAATTATTCCATTATTTTATATTACCAGTCCAAAAATTAATAAGTTTTTACGTGTTAAAATTTCTATAAATAGTTTAGAAAAAATGAAAAATTTAAAAACTTGTTTTTTTTTTCTTTCTTTCTTTCGTAAATTTTACGAATTAGATTGCGAAATGTATTAAGCATTTACTTAAAATCTAACAGGGGTCATTATAATATAGTTGTGCAGACACTTACAAACAGTGAATTATTAAAGGAACATTTCGTCATTACAGAGCTCAATTACAGAGACGAATGTTAAAGTATTTCGGTACGCAATTTTCGATCTAACATGAAAAAAGTGCTTTATGTTTAATTGTGTAATCGTACGATTCAGCAAACGTTCATTTGAGAACTGTATACATTGAAGTAATATTTGTTGTAAAGTAATCGAAGAATATTAATTTGAAAAAAAAACCTTCTTCCTTGAAAATTCATAGATTTATCGGTTAAAGTGTATTTCAGAAACACCTTCAACTAAAAAAAATGTAGAAATGTTGAAAATGACTACTGTACCAGCTAATGTGCCTTTTACTTTCTGTAAAATTATGTACAAACATTTTTCGGTAAATTCCATTGGAGAAAGCGAAAAAAATAATTGGGTAATCACTAAGATTATCAAAAAGCGGTGAAATAAATATTGTTAAAATGCCTGGCTTTTGTTAGCTAAATGTAATATCATAATCGGGCTTGTGGCGCTACCCTTGCTTGCCTTTCTGTTGTTCATGTTGTGATTTGCAATCGCATTTCCTTTTCCATAAAACAAAAACGGATTACTAAGAAATGTGCATCCCGTTCTGTGTTCACACCGAAATTGGGTGCGCATAGAAGATTTTTAAGTACTAGTCTATGAACCAACATCGAGTGTACAAGTATTGCAAAAGTTCTGGTGACGAACCTTATTTCGTACAATTTTTCACAGTTAGTACGAACAAAAACATAGAAAAAGTAAAAAGATTTATGGTGGACGGCCGCCGAACCGACAGAGCGGCTGCTCAGACAGCTCGCAAGAAGGTTAGACATCTTACGCGAGTCATATTAAGCTATTCTGAATAAAGAAATTGTAGACTCTTGCTCGTCGCTAGTCGTCTCGCGGAAAATTTGGTGCTTCTATTACCTCAACCTCCGTGTTTACAAGAGCTATCAGAGCGCCCTGTTTATTTTCTTCTTCCCAAAACTCAAAAAATATGGGCGGAACGACCTAGGGAATTCAAGAAGCGAGGACAGAGCTGAGACTATTCGCATTATTGTTTCTACCTTAACAAAAGGAAGAACAGGTAAAACTCGTGCATTCAATTTGGCTGCCATCACTCGTAAAACAATAATTGACGTTTGACCTACTATAGAACGTGCAGTCGATACTACTCCAATATCTCTACTATTTTGACAAGATTCTCTCTCTTTTTTTTTTTTTTTAATACAGTAAGTGTTAGTTTGCCGACAATAATTAGATTGATCGTCTTTTACTTTGCGACCTGAATGCTTTACACGTACTTGAACGGGATTCGTTCAAAAACTGCACAGTAGGTGATCTGCCTTCCTCGAAGTCCGACGTTGTTACTTTGAACGACATGAATCTTCCTAGATATTGCCTAGTGCACCTTTGGGGAGTTTTACCAAGTTTTATCTCAATAAATGTAACTTAGTCAACAAGTATTGTTTCTCTATGGTATGAACGAATATACTAAGTGATATTATAATTATAGATATCATAGCAGAATCTTTGATAAGGTACAAACTTGAGAATGTACATCGCTTCTGAATTAATCTTGGAAACAAAATACCCCGCCACTTTACCAACGGGCTTTCAATGCCAATGACAGTAACAATCAAGGTTAACTTGTGCAATCTGCGAACTGTAAACCAGCGCTAATGCTATGTAATCTAATAGGTTTTCTAAGTATAGACAATAGCCATAGTTATCTTCAAAGATTTATTCAAATTTATTTGCTGAACAAAGTCACATTTTCAAATAATGTCTCATTTCATGAAAGTCTGGATATAGTCATTTAAAGAATGACGAAGTAATACTTATTGCGGCTTACATGCTTCTGGGTTTTGTTGAATTTTCGTTTTTTTAACGATGTGTACTTGTTGCCCACGAAGCTTTTGATCTTTAGATTTTCCTTTAGTGTCTTCTTCCACAGCTGTGCCCATCATAACACCAACCTCCTTGATATCAGCCTTTTGATCATCCGATAATGTACACTGGCTTGTAACATCGGCGCTGTCTTTTTTGTTATCACACGATACCATTCCGTCTTTCAAGCATTGTTCTGTCGGCTGCAATAAGCTCTGCTGGGTGGTCACGTGTTGATTACGCATCCGCTCGATTGATGCAGTCTCAGAGAGGAGAGAGGCCTATATGCATTACATTGAAAATTAAGGTAGCAAGCAAATCCAGCTTGTTTCACACATGATCTGTCAATCGACTCTTAAATAAACTCAATAAATTTTGAGTGGAATAAATGAGGTGCTTTCATAAACGAAATATTTTACTTATACAGGGAGAAGGGTTTAGCGTCCTTTACTAACTGCTTACTTGGCACAAAAAAAATGCTATTAATCTGATCTCTGCGAGACTCATGAAAGGAGCCCTAAATAGAGTTGTCTTGCCTATTAGCTTATGCACCTGGATAAACATGCGTAGAAATTTGTAAATGAATCTGTACAACCTCACTTGTGACATAATTTTATCAATGCATTAAACTTTCAGGAGGTACATAACAATCGACATAAAAGTGTCGATAAGATTTGAACTTTAATTAGCAACCCTCTATAGCCCTATTTTTTATAACTTTAACGCAGTACCATTGATGCTGTGTTTACTAACCTTAACCGTCACAATCAGATCTGAATCAGCATTGATTTTTTGCTCACTTTTACGTGTACACCGATTCTCCTCAACGACTTCGGTAAGAAGTTCTCGGAACACGGTGGGTGTCGATTGGTTCTCTTCGTCGCAAACTACCGAGGATGGGGAAGCAGTATTTTGGCCTAACTCTTCTGTTTTTTTCTCTTGCAATCGTAGCAGAAGAATATTGCGTTCTTTATTTAACTTTTCAGCAATTGCCTCAGATTTGCGCAGATCCGATGCAAGTCTGTGGAGAAATCAGTGGACAAAACACGCACGTTAGTCAAGTAATTCATTAGAGTAGCCTGATAAAGTCGTCGCAGCTCTATCCGCATACTGGACGGATATAATAATACGATTTTTTTCGTAACTGCTAAAACGAATGATTGGCTTCGGATCTTCGGAATTAGATAAGTTTCATCTTGTGTTTGTACTGTGAGGAGTTGATGCAGATGTACTTTACGGTTCTCGCTAAAATTTGCTTTAGAAACCTTCGAGTTAAACTCAAACGACAGCCTTTATTCGTATGAACTCGATAACATAATAGATGTTCAGAGGCTATCGTATCTAGAAGGTGACTCAACCAACTTGATAAGGTCGTAAGTCCTCTGATCTTCTTGAACGATCAGCTTTTCAATTCGTTTTTTCAAACTAGTTGTACACGACCGCTCAGAAATAAGGAGTCCTGAAATAAAATAATTGATCGCAAAACATTCAAGCCCAATTTTCATTAGGTGAATTTTGGTAAACAAATAATAATTACATCATCAATCAAGTAAAATCAATACAGCGCTTACGTTACCGAACTTATTTCTTTTATACTTTGTCTTAAACAATTATTGGTTCGAAATAATCGAAGACGATATTTTTAGCACCTTCTTTAGTGATTATATTAAACCCTTACTATACTGAACGACTCTGGTTCTTATTGATCCAAGGCCACCAATTAAAGTCATACCCGCTAGTGGATTGTTCTGCAAATCTCTTTCAGTAAATGTCTCGTCCTTTACGTTACTACCAAACTGAGCTGAGCACGCAAAGACCTGGTTCCGCAATCTCATTACCTCCTTTTCTAGCGAGGTAACATAACTGTAAAACGAATCCATGAAAAAGGTTTGGTTTATTAAATCAAGTAGCAAGCCTTATCCGATTTTTGCAATAGCTGTTATTTTTTCCAAAGTTGTTGTTGTTACCGTTATTATTATCGTTAGATAGCTGTTATCATTGCCTTGTAATGTAACGACATGGACAATCATTGTTACAAAGTGATAAGTGTTTTACTCGTTTGAACCAAAATATCCTTGCAAAACAAAAAAAACGGGTTCCAAATTCTAAAATCATGAAGGTAGAAGTTGAAACAATAGATTTTACATAATATGAATTATATTGGAAAGCACTATTACTATTTACCAAATGCCACGGAAAATAGCAATTAAAAAAGATCAATGTATAAGGCTGGCGAACGTCAGTATGAACACGAAATAATACTAGATAAATCTTTCATCCGAAAAGCCAAAGGTTTGGATAGGCGAAAAGAGCATCTCTACGAAATTTGAATATTGCACATGAATACTGTGTAAATATTGAAGACTTCCACGCACGCTAAAAGTTAGTCTGACATGAAAAATAAAACTATTAAACTAAAAAAAGTTAAATAGAGTTGACAGGATATTTCTGTTAAACTACAAAGAGAGTGCACTACAGGCTGAGATGAGGCTCAAGGGGATTAAAAAATTTATATTTAACTAAAAATTTGAAAAACTGACTAATAAGCAAGTTTTATATTCCGCTATTTTTGCTCCTTTCTTAACTATCGTCCAAAACAATCCTGGTGCGTATTTTTCTAAAATATTCCACTTGATTACATACAAAAATCCGTATAAAAATAATTTTTTAACATATTTCCTGCTACAGAAAATTGCAAGGCAATTAGTAAGTGAATTTCTATATTCTTTGTACTTCTGATCTGCTTTGCTTGTGTATTTAGCCAAGAGTTGCATCGAAACGTAGCATTCGTTTAATTGACTCCGTAACCGCCGTTTAACCTCGTCGGCAACCCGAAGCCGCGCCGTTGCCTTCTCCAGCCTGGATTCGACTTCAAGTCGGCGGTCCTCAACTTCAGCAAAAATGGAATTACCCTGGCGACTTCGATAGGTTTGCGAATTATCCTGATAATTGAATAAACACATAAACGATGAAACAATACATTTGCATGTAAATTCCGGCTATTCAAGATCGCCAAATGAACGAATTCAACGCTTAAGGAGAGAAGCTCGACATGCGCTGTCGTTGTGCCGTGCACAATATACATGATCGAAAGAAAAAATTAAAACGAGGTCAAATTATATTTATGGATGATAGATAGCGCTAATAAGATGTCCTACTAACTCTACTAACTGTCAATTATCTTGCTTATTGCGATAAGGCGCTTAAAATATACCCCTTCACCTGAGAAGCTTTCAGCGAGTCAATCTCCTGTTTGAGTTCAGTCATTTCCTGATTTTTCTCGCGAATTGCATCTATGTAATAAACGAGGTTGCTTTGCATAGACGCTTTGTCTTGCTGGGACTCTTCCAGTAATACCTGCGTACGACAAACAGTACATAGTGCACCTGAACTAAGAATAAATTCAAGTCGTATGATGTCTTTTTAACTGTGTCTTCACCGAGATTTAGCTGAAGTGAACAGATTTGTGAAACTCGAAATTAAACTATTAAAAGTATTGTTAATCCTCATTTTCTTTTGTTTTTATTTTTTTTTAAATTTTTTTTAACTGTATTTCTGTCGATTTCATCTACACGCTTACTATGAGCTTATCAATTTACTTCCTCTTGCTGTTTCTAACATATGATGAAAGGACTTACTTTAATAAAAGTCTAACTACTAGGCTTGCATTCAACACATTTATAGCAATGTATATATAAGCTAATGTGTTTATCCTATCAAAGCATTTCTTTTAGACGGTGCGTGTTCAGAAAAGTAAAGTGCACCTTGTATTTATTGGACTCGGCTAAGAGAGATTCTCGTTGTTTTATGGCTTCGCTCAGCTGCTGTTTTATCTGATCGTTTTCCTCACGAGCCTCCGCTAATCGGATCGCCGCCTCAGCGGAATTGAATGGGTCCGATTCAAAGACGTCTTTTACTGGCGACATATCTTTCTTTGATGACTCTTTCTGTCTATACTTCATGATCTCAGTATGGGCTGCAAATGCAACAAAAAACAGTGGTAAATATTTTGCTGTATATGTTCATCAATACGTCGTCCGAACAAACCAGATTGGCACTTTCTTAACAATGCCATTAAATGTATTTATGTACCGATACCTATACGAGTTTTAGTGACTGGTATCACTAAATTTTAAGGGTGTTTACGATAATAGTGCCGAGTAATTGCCCGAGCATGGATAAAAACTATAAATACTTAGAATCAATACAGACTTGCAAGCGTGTATTTAGGTGACTCCTATCTTTAACTGTGTTAATTCAATTTACATATTCATAGTATTCGCAACAAGGGCTTGCTAGATGCACTAGTTGTTATTTCCATCATCTAAGATAATCGGGGCTAATATTTAAATATATGATCTATTCGATTTGCCTCTAACGATGGTATTTCTGTATAACACTTATCAGATACAGTCGGCGCGCTCTTCAAAGGCTCAGTGAATGATTTACCGATTGCCAACTGAGTTCGTATTGCCTTAAGTTCTTCCTCTAACTCAATGGAGTTTTGCATTCTTTGATCCTTTTCCAGAACCGAGCGCCGAAGTAGTTCTTCTAAATTTCGTTTTTCAGCGCACAAACGGTCGTTTTCTTCTGCCACTGATTTGAGCATATCGATTTCCTGAAGAAAATTATAATATTACCTTAGTTTTCGAGATATTTTTCATTCGAGACACGATAATAATAAATCTTTTGGAATTAGGCACATGCAAATAAATCAGTTATGATAATAAGTACCTGTTTCGAGCTAAAATATTTTCTATAATATTGGCCAATAATATAATTGTCATATAACAGATGTGAAACGAAGAAGTCAGACACCATAGTAAGTCTGGGACAACTAGGACGCAGATTAATCAACTTTCCAACCTACCGCAAGTGCATTCTGTTCACGAGCGGTCGCAAGATCTGCCTGTCTCTCAGCGGCATGCCGTCGTTGTCTAAGATCCTCCAGCTCCACCTCGAGCGCGATACGATGCTCCACTAATTCGTCGCACTCTCTGATAGATAATTGTGAAAAGCAACAAACAGTAATGTATGAAAGATTATACATATACACATATATTGTCTACTAAAGACTACCTTGATAGAAGCTAACTTCTTCATAAGGTAGAACGAATTTTCTTACATACTGCATAGTACCACAGTATTTGAGCTCATTTTATTGCACTGAATAATATTCAATATTACTACAGTATCTGATGAGTGACAATCTAAAAGCAGAGATACTTTCCTTTTACACGGTATGTTTATGTGCGTAGACATTTCGTTGCACACATTTGAACAAAATATATAGTATACAATATTACGGTTCAAACCGTTAAACACTCTCAAACCTTTCTACTAGAATTTTTAGAATCTGGATATCAATTTACCCCGTGAATCGATCTTCTACTGTTTGCAGTGAACACGACAAATTGATAAGAATATGACATTTTCGGAATCCTATTAACGTTCAGTGTACTTCCTTGAACTTTAATTTTCAGACCCTTATAAACAAGTTACATTTATCTTTAAGCGCTTCTATGATAGGTATTAGGCTCCCCACGTTGTCATTCTAAAAATGTAGATGATACAATAGTACGTTCTATTGAATTTTCCCCATTAATATCACTCACATTGATTTGTGATTAAGTTGGTCGAGAAGTTGCTGGCCGAGTAAGCCGGCTCTTTCCAAATACGACTCGAGATCGACAATTCGATGTTGTAGATGTTGGATTTGTCCAAACTGCTCAATATTATCCAGCTGTTGGCTGTCCGCTGTTGTTGCCATTTCGTATTCTCTACGACCCAACGGCTGCTGCTATAATAAGAAGCGGATCACCGCAAAGTTAGTCTTGTCAGATAGCACTGCTTGATGGCGTTAATATTTTTTTGCATTTTAACAGGCCAAACAACCCCATCATATATATGGATTAAATACAGTTTTACTAGTACTGTTCAGCTACAGCAATCGGTCAGTAAAGAATACAAATTTAACCAGCAAAAATTTATCGCTACGAGCAAAATGTTGCTTAGTTATATTCCAATTTACTTGACTGGACAATAAAGGTAGCCATAAAGTACATGTCCAGTTTCGATGCACGCTAACCATAAGATGAAATAAATTTTTTATTATTATTTTTTGGCGATTTATTACCATCTTCTCATAAAGATTTTAACACTGCTGATAAGACTGTAGTAATAATAATAACAATATATAACGATAACATGAAGAAATAAGCAACAAACAATAAACACCGAAAATGTTCTTGTTGTATTGATCGTTTACCTTCACTTTGATTTGATTATTACTGGAACTGATTATTTCTTTGCTAATTTATCAGTAGTTAACAACAATAAGCGTAACTGATGAGCTCGTATTTATTTATCTCACCTATTAGACTCAAATTCGAACAAATACAAATTCCAAAGTTCGTACGATATCTCCGTCACCAATGGCCATCTGCTGATTTTGTTTTGACAAAAACCTCGGCAGCACGTCGAATGCACGTTTTCGTCACGGCTATTTTAGATGGATAGGAAAGTTCTTTACGTTATTCAGTTTGTGTTGTTTGTTCGAGTGCCGGTTACGCATAGCACATTGGCGGTTCAACGATCAGCTGAAAATGTGCGATGGATGCATTTTCGATTATATTTTTCTCAGCGGGCGATGGACATAAAGGAAAGCTTCGGTCAATCCCAAATATTTCTACTTTACATAATCAGCCAAGAGAAAATGCTTAACACATACGTTATTTATTTGGTTACATTAATTAAGCCGATAACAATAATACTTTTCTATAGTTCGAGCTAGTTACCTCTCAGTGGATCTCTTACATACATACACTCTGTATTGATTGATCAGTCTCTTATGTACTAGATACTGATTGTCCAAAATTTGTTGCGTTTCTGAAGCTTTAATAATAAATAAATATAATAATAAATAATTATTATAATTTTATAATATAAATTTTCTCTAAATAATATTTCTATACTCAGATGCTATAGCTTGTGTTCAAATCTTACTATCGAGGTCCACTTACAGCTATATCTCGTGTTTACAAACGAGTAACATTAGAGAGCTTCGGTTATATTTACTTGGCTTTTAAAATGTAGACATGTTAGTAGAGGGTCGGTTCTTAAGTTAAGTTTAATATTCAAGTATAGCGAAAAGTTCTACTAATAATATGGGATCCTTGCACGAAGCGTAGACACTATAAAATATGTCATTTGAATTATTTTTACTAAGCTTCACTTCTCATTTATAAGTATATATCGCTAGCTAAATGTATATTAAAAACAAAGCAAAGTTTAACTTTGTAAATGTAATATTTTAAGTAACTTGTTATACAGGTACGCCCCTTATCTAAACGATAAGAACGCAGAGATATACTATGTTTTATATCCATAGCAAAGTGCATAAAGAAATGTCGTTGAAACGCGCCTAGCATGCATCTTCTGATCTACTTTCTCTCGAATGTTCAATTCCGTGCCGATTATCATTAACTTGGCCTACTCACCAGAGTCTGATTAAGCGGCATGGCATTCTAAAACTACCACAGTTTGTTTGTATCGTCGTAGAATTAAAACTAGCCATCGCATCACATTTCAATTTTCAATTAGCTGGCGCCGGAAGAATCTGAAGTGGACTCATCAGCGCCGTACGAATTATCTTTGCCCAAAATGTGCGTCTCTTCTCAAGAACAGTACAATGTTGCTAACAAATACCCTACGGTAACGTCAATGATCAAGCGTGTATAATCGATGTGAGTTCTCATGTTGTAGCATTAGTGATATATGAAAACTTACATGGAATTGCAAAAAAAATTGATAACAAAAAAATATTGTTTATCTAACCATAACATCTATTTACGTTTCCCTTTTATGTATCGCTCACACGGTGAAAAAGTTGAATTAGCACAAAAAATGGTGTAGGACCGTCGTAGACTTGTCTGTCCTTCATCGATAGGCAATTTGTCCTATATGCTTGATTGCGACACCTGTGTATTCAGTTGTTAAAAGAGTCGTTTGCAGTTGCGTTTCTAAGAGCTATGAAAGAGGACTAAGGACCCTGCCCGCTTTATCGAAAGCTCAATTCTATCTTGATATAAGACAGAACTGAGCTTTTAAAATCCCATTGATTCCTAAGCGACTGCCCCGCCTGGGCTCTGTATGCGTCAATCATTACCTCTCGAAGGGTAGTCGTTATAGCTGAATAATGTGAAATACTCTGTGAACAGGATTAAAGAAAAATGTGTCTTGAGGTACCGACAGCCACGGTTTTTCTGCTGGAACATTTTGGAATCATCAAGTATTCCTCAAGAGCTACGAACATGTTACCAAAGTAAATAATGATCATCTATCAAACTCTAGGTATTATCTTGAACTATGACAACGTCTTATATTTTCATCTATGAAACAGTAAATCGCGCAAGTTTTTAGCCAATAATAGCTAAATATGAAAACAGTTTTAGAGATGAAGTGCTATTGAACAGACCGTAATTTAAGTTTTTATCTCAAATGTATCAAGCTAGCGCAGCATTGGCTGACAGGAGAAAGCCCTATATATTATCAATATTTATATATACTATATATACATATAGTAACATGTCGGTAAGCATGTTTGAGTATGAAAGATTTTTATATCACTAAGGGTTCGTTCAATGTGCGGGTAGTAGGGTAGGAGAAAAAATACGATAACTACGAAAATAGGTTGTTATGTAAAATATTTCCAGAACGTTTAGCTAGTAACCCTAAACTTTAAAAACAGTATAGTTTATGTGCACATACTTCACCATATGACGTTCATATGGTGAAGTATGTGCACATAAACTACCACACATAAACACCACCTGAAGCAATTTCACGTTAGCTTTTTCACTTTGGAAGACAAAAAAGCGACGCAAAGGTTTCACGAAGATTAGCGTTGCCAAATCAGGGCCGTACGATCCAAAGAGATTTACTAAAAAAATAATGTACCGGATTTGCTGAATATAGAAAAATGTTGTGTAAGACTTCTCCTATTGATCTCGCAACATTGTCACTTAGCGCTAGATTCCTTAAACCTCCAAGGTAGTAGTCTCTCGGATGCGGTAACTTTTTACACCAAAATACAGCTCAAATCAATAGTAAAACGGAATAAAATAATACCAAAGATTTACGATGTAATTCTAATTAGTATGTCGCTGTAATTCAAACAGGTTTGGTTATTAAAATCTGAAGAGGGCCTAAAACTGGGTCCCGTTCGACCCCAATGAGAGCATATTGAAGCGAAGCCACATTGCCTCTCACGTTGAAAAACAGTTAAAAATAAATGAAGTCCGTGCGTGAAACTTAATGCAATGATTTCAACTGGGAATGATGCAACATGATGAAGTTACTTGTGTATTTCGCCACTCATGCTATAGTTTACATTTGGTTGAATATACTATCAATCGAACCGGATGAATTATATCAAAGATACCGCACGGCCAGATGCTTCTATAAGCGCCAACTATTGATACTTGAAACAAAAGGCCAGAAATCTTTTTTTTTTTTGTTTTTTTTGTGGAAATTTACACGAAGTTAGCCACCATATTAGGCTGTGTTATCAATGACACTCTCATCGTTGTACTACACACACAATCACTCTAGTACGTTCGTGATTTACACGTTATAGATTGCGTAACCAGGTATCTGTATGTTTATGCCGGGGCATTCTGTACGTTTGCGTGGGTGCAAAATCTACTAATCCGGCTAGTTATATCAACGGGCAAAATGAATCTGCCTCTCAATTCATAATTAACCACAACAATAAGAGAATTCTATGAATAGCAAGCAAGGACTTGCAAAATGGAACGAATCGAAGTGAAAATTAATACATTTATTTTCAGCTAGCAGAAGGAGTCTTGAAGAACGAACGTTGTATTGTATTGCGTTGTATACTGTGTTGACAGACGCAATTTCCAGGCTGGCTCGACTTTACTTGTAAATAAGGATACTTTTCTGTTAAAGTAGATTATACAATTAAGTTGTAAGTTAGTGCAGAATAGATTATCTGATATATATCGTTTTGCGTGTTATTTGTAATATTATATTCTGACAATATGGTCGCTAAATGCAAAGTTCCTTTCATAACTTTTTTCAGAAATAACTGTTGTGTATGCTTGACATTACGCTGTGCTGATTCGAATATCTTTATGACTTTACCGGTCTTTCATTGATCGGCTTTTGGTTTCATTTCGAGATGAAAACAAATTTGCCTACTTTGAATTTTTTCTGGGAAGTTTCGCTTTGGGCCTTTTCGGATTATTCTTGAAGCATCCACCTACGCTACTGCGTCTTTTCACCATTGATTATCACACCAGCTGCTTGCACTATGTAACCTTCAGTTACAAATCTGCTAAAATATGTGCATGTCCTCAGGATCCTTCCCGTTTGGACAAGTCTGGAAACTGGATTTCTCAATAAATGTCCTAAACTCGGAACCGATAAACGTAATTTGAGTCGGTCGTTTTTCAGGGTAATCAAACCTGGAAAATACTTCCGGAAGACACCTGGTGGCTTCAATTACGATGATTATCTGACTGGAAACACTTCTTATATATTATAGATATTATATATATTATTATATATATATTATAGATATTAATCTTTAATCAACCAATCGGTTAATGGGCGCCACATAATCTAGGTGGACTTTCTTCTACTAGCCAAAGACTTTGGTAAATATATCTGCTTCATAAGCCATCAACTGCGAATAATATGAAAACGATAGTTTGTTTACGTTCTAGTGTGAGTAGATAATTTTAAATTAAAGAATATATTCGCTATAATTTTATTCAATGTTTTCATTCTTACTATTACTATTATATATTCTGACATGCCTTATTGTATGGGTCGGCCATGCAGACGTACGTTCTAGATGAACCGCCATTTTAAATAGAGAAATACGACTTCTTTTTCGAGATGTTCAGGCCAAAGCGTCGCATGCCGCCTGATCATGTTCACCAAAGCCACCTTAAAATTGGTGTCGTCAGCAAGAACTCGTAGCATAGGTTGTATGTGCATACCTCACGGTCCACTATACAAATACGTATTTTCTAGCGACCATATAAGATTATCGTTAATATTCAGACTCTCCATATATATTTTATTTATAAATCATATACCGAAGTATTATTTAGCTTACTATCGTTATTATCACAAAATACAATAAAAAATGGGTATAATAGGAATGCTTATAGTTTGCTTAGAGAATGCTTGTACAATCTACGTGTTCCAATAAATAGTGATCCAGAACACGTTGCATTCAGTGAAAAATCTTTGTTGATGGATCTAAACACTGCATTCCCATTGTTCTTAAGTGCTCCCAAAGCCACGCTGAGATAACATCTCACCCACCACCATCATCAAAATAGAAAAGTACAAAATCGTTTTTAGTGTAACCTCCGCACTAAAAAATGGTTAATACGCCTCCTCCTAAAGCTACCTTAAATCTATTTGCTATGATCTGGAATGCGTTACACAATAAAGCTCGCCGTATTGTTGTTCGTATGTTGTCATTGCGTTGCGTGTAACTAATGTAGGCAATGTACCGTTTTGGTCACCGTATCACGCGTAGATGATACCAAAGTATACA